GAACCACTGAAGCTAAACAACCGTTCTCTTTCCATAAATATGTGCTTCTTCCTGAATGGCAACTCTAGCATTGATTTAATAATCCTACCACATAGATAAAGGTTATCAAGATTCCCCAATTATCAAATAATTCCTTTCCTGACACTACCCAATCCAGAAATTTCTCCCTCTTCCTCAAATCCTCCTTAAAATCAACCAGTACAAGCCCCAATACACATGCTTCCTCTGATATGACTTTTGCAAGCTGCAGCAAGTTCAATAAACATTGACTACAGTTATATTGCAGGTGGTCTTTGGCTGATGACTCTGGACAGAAGATAAGAAAAAGTTTTATAAATTTGGGATTTGGGGTTGGTTTTGAAAAGTGGACTCTTTAACTAGCCAGGATATATAAGGAGAATGGGCTTGAAGCAAAGCATAAAGAAAATGAGGCAGCAGAGTACAAAATTTGTTAGGAGACAATGAATCTCAGACTTCGCCCAGAACTGTTACAATGTTAGGAGAGTAATAGAGAAAGTACGAAAGTATGGGGGCGGGTTCACATTGTAAAAGCCTTTTTCGACCAGGTCAAGGATATTGACAAGCCATGGGAAGCCCCAGGAAGGTTTGGAAAAGAGAAGAGAGTTTTCAGATTTGTACAGTAGGCCATTAGGATTTCTTTCAATATCCATGTGGGCAAATCCATAGTGAAGTACTTTCTGGAGAAGGAAAAATCATTTGGACCACTGGGAAGTAGCAGTATGAGGGGGCATCTTTACCTAATTTACAAAAAAAAAAAAACTTTCACAGAAATCCAGCTGCTACTAATAATTGAATATTTCTTTCTTTGATTTGTGTTGTTTTGGTGAGCCCCAGAATAGCAGTTCAAAGTGTTTAATTGGTTTTCCTCTATTCAATTTTATTAAGCTGTCCTGGGCTCTTGAGTCGGCAAATTTAGCAATTTTTTTTTTTTAAAGCTGAGCTTGCTTTCTCTAGAAGGTTTTCTTCCAGTTTATTCAGCTTAACTTCTCATATCTGATGCTGAACACTCACCAGCTGCTGGGCATGCAGGAAAAAAAACGAAAAAAATTTCAGTAATTGTATCTGAAGTTTTCTATTTTGCCTCAGACTATGTGCAGCTCAAAGAGAAACAGTATGAACAAGTTTCCTTCTGCTGTTGGACAATATGCCCAATAATTAACTTCTTGTGAATGCCCGAAGGTATCACTGTCTCCCACAGCATGGCATTATAGAAAAAAAAATAATCCTGGCAAGGTCTCAGAGGAATTAGACAATACCACTTCTCTGCCACTGAACAGCTGTGTGATCACGTATGCAGTGATTGTGGTGATTGACATCCAATATCCATTCCTTCCCAATATTTATTCTACACCAAATGTGCCCGACTTTGGCTGCACAATAACATTTAATGTTACAGAGCAATCATAGAAAACCTCTGGTTTAAACTAATTGTTGCTGTAACGAGTCCATCACTTCGTTGTTGGTGACTGATCAATGTGACTCAATAGAAAATGATGACTAATTCCTAGTAATTGCTTACCTTAGTCTTGTCTTATCCAGACTGGGTGTGCTCTGGTGTCTGTGGTCTGCTGGAGAGGTGATTGGTGACTGGTTGACCTAAGATAAAGAGCCTCCTTCACATATCTGGCTGTTGGGCAGGGCAACAGGAACAATGTATCTCTCCTCTCTAGCAGGCTGTTCTGGGTTGCTTCACATGACAGCAATGCTCAAGAGCAGCAAAAACAGACAAGTCACACTAAGAAAGAATGTCTCAACTCTCTCTGTGTCATGTCCACTATACTTTCATTAGCTGAAGCAAGTCACATTGAGGAGATTGGAGCAAGTGTGGAAGGGGCTATCCAAGGATGTGGAAACAGGGAAGTGTGAATGAATGTCTCAGCAATTTACTATATTCATTGTGTGCCAGGTAAAGCGCTAAGCTCTCTGCATACAACCATTTATTCAAACCTCATGAAAACTCAGTGAGGTAAGCAAAATACACTCATCCAATTTCACAATTCTAGAAAATGAGGCACAAAATGGTTAAGTAACTTGTCCAAGGAAGATTGCACAGCCACTAAGAGAGGAGCATTAGTATTGGAACTCATTTGGTGTGATACTAGATTTCGCGCTCAGTGTCACACCATATATACCTGAGGGATGTACCTTACTGCTACAAAGGAGACACAAGAAGACACAACTCCGCTCCTCTTCTGGAGATTATCATCTGTGGAACTGAAGTCTGATGCAGACACAGTCGTCTAGACAACACACCATGAAGTTCAGAGCCAAGAGGTTTATCATAGCCAAAGTTTTCACAGCCTGTCTTGGAGTTCACCCTATTTTCTTGCTCTGTAAATTAATCAGCTCCTTATTGTATAAATAAGAGTGAAGGCAATTTTTCCGTTACTTGCAACTGGAAGCATTTTAATATTTCAACAGCTAAATCACACACCTTTACAGTTTTAATTCTTGCATGTATAAAATATAAATCTTGAATTAGATGATTACTAAGGCTGTTTCCAGTATTAGCATTTATGATTTTAATGACACTGTTGATAAGGGGCGCAGTTTGATTGCTGATTACAGTGGAGGGTCTATACAGTAGTAAAAAGATTAAACATTGGGAAATATTTACCTTTGTTTTTGTATTAGTTTTCTGTTGCTGCTGTAACAAATTACCACAAACTTGGCAATCTAAAACAACACAAATTTATTATCTTTCAGTTTGATAGGCTAGAAATTTAGCAGGAATCTCACTGGGCTGAGATCAAGGTGTATACAGGAATATATCTCTGGAGTCTCCAGGGAGTAATCTGTTTCCTTCATTTTTCTAATTTCTAAAGACCATCAACATGCTTTGTTTTGCATCTCCCTTCCTCCATCTTCTGTTAGGAAAGGCAAGTTCAGTTATTCTCACATCATAGCTTTCTGAGCTTTGTATCATTTCATCTCACTCTGACCACAGACACAGAAGTTCTCTGCTTTTAAGGACTAATTCGATTAGGTGGAGACTACTGGATAATCTGTGTAAATTTCCTTATCTCAAGGTCTCTAACAAACCCTTAATCTGATATTCAAGGTAGCACATTCACAGTTTCTGAGGATTAATTAGAGCATGAGCATCTTTAGAGGCCCCATTATCCTACCTGCCACAGTTTTATTGGTGATTGGATTAATGAGCAGGGCATATATATTGACTTTGTAAATTCTAAACGGGTATATTTTTCCATTCCTGTTCATGAAGCTACCAGACCTTACACAGTGAAAATCTTGAAAGTGCAAGAATGAGCAAAAACCATAAAATTATTCATAACCTACCTTCAAGAGTTATAGATAATAACACTTTGGCCTATGGCCTTTGGCCGAATTGGTTTAGCCTCTATGCACAAATTTTTGACAAAAATTGAATCACACTGTATGTATATTAAATGGCTTTTCTTTTTATGTACCACAAAATTATGAACAAACATTTTTTTTATTTTAAAGACTGCATAGTTCCCCATCATATAGATACAACTGACACAAGTTTTTAATAAATGCTTTATTGTTTGCCATTTACACTACTACTCAGTTTTTGTTTTTATCAATAAAAAGCATTCTTGCATACACATTTGCTCACAAATAGTTGGGTACATTCTCCAAGTTCAGAACAAATTACTCACTAAGATAATAGATTAAGAATATGAGTTTCTGGAAGTGGGGTTTTATGCCTCCCTTTAAAGACTCTTATGTTTATAACTCAAGGTGGAGTATCAGAATAACATGGAATGCTTATGAAAATGTCAATTTGGAGACATGACACTCATAGACTGAGATGGAAATGGATGTTCTGCATTATTGTTTTGTTTTATTGAGACAGGACCTCACTATGTGGGCCACACTGGCCTAGGATTCACTATTCTGTTCAGGTTTGCCTCAAACTAGTGGTGATCCTCCTGCCTCAGACTCCAGATTGCTAGGGGTACGAGCTTGTTCTGTCACACCCTAGGTTCTGCACTCTGCCTTTTCCTGAAATTCATTGTCACTTATATATAAACACCGACATTTAAATGTCATATCTCCTAAAAGAAGCTGTAAATCAAAGTTGGAAAAGCATGTATAGTATGAAAGCCAGGAGTAACCAATTTCTCTGTCCTACTCAAAGTTTGGTCCAGCTTGCCTCTTAGAGGCAACTTCTTCTTACCTTGTCACTATAAATCAGAGTATTTCCTCCAGACTCTCCAGTAAATTAAAATGCGCATATTGAATACCAATTTGGATGTATACATATGGGTTATTCTGCTAGATAATGGGAAGGGGGTGAACTCTATTGTGAACTTATTATGTCATAGACCATTCTTAAGCACTTTATTGTTTAATTTTAACAGTGCCATTAAGAAGTAGCTATTCTGCCCAATCTCCAGATGAGTCCACAAAAGCATAAAAACTTTTCCCTAAGTCACTCAATGCATAAACAGTAATTATTGAATAGATTCAAAAATTTTGAATCCAGATATCATGCTCTAACCTCTTTCCAATCAGGTAGGTGCCATTATAATTTCACTTCTGTAAGACATTATTAGAAATAGTAACAGCTATCACTTCATGGTTTGCTCTCTTTCTGCTAATCATATGTCCATTAACATTTTATTTGACCCTCACAGTAAGAGTTGATGTATCGCTTATGTAATATGAATTCAAAAATCAAACTCAATAAACTAATTTTACAAGGTGACACAGCTAGTGAGTGGCAGAGCCAAAAGCCAGTTCGTACCCTCATATCTCTGGCTGTAAAACCATAGTCTTAACCACTGTCTTATTCTAATAGTAAAGAATATGTCTCTTGTTTAAAGCATTTTGGGGAAGCATAGTGTGTTAGACTATCATCAGTAAGTATTCTTGTTTCACTTCAGATCAGAGCTAGAATTAACAAGAATGACAGACAGAACTGGTCCCAGAAGAAAAAAACATGCTGCATGATAAGAGGTGTGCTCATCTCTGCATAGAAATATTCCAGACATGCAAAGGGTCCTTCCCCCAGAGATACTCCTGAATTCTGGTTTCTCTAATTAACAGAAAAAAGTGACCTAAAACTGGGCTGTGAAGCCAGTTGGCATCTTTACGCTGAGGTTTCTAAGATCAGCATTCACTACTGCAAGCCCAGCCATCCTGCCTGGGCCAACCTGCCCTATGAGTCATTGCTGCTTGTATCACAGATAGCTTGGTTTGCATAATCAAGGGCCTTTAAGTGAAGGTTGAGCCAGGGCTGAAGGATCAAGATTCTTGAACTCTTCCATTTGTCAAGGGCAAAAAAATGGTCCCACACATGCCTAAAGGGCTTGGACTTTCCTTCAAAAAGAAAACAATTTAAATCAGTCAGGACATTTTAAAAGTACCTTATATGGTATACACGATATAAAGTATTATGAAACTCCACTTATTCATTTTTTTCCATTAAGTTTACTGGTTCATTAAAAGATAAACAGTACAGTTGTATTCATCATCAGGATCTTGTGCCTTTACATGACGTATCTTGGCTCTTATTTTTCCCCACTCCCCTGCCCTCTCTTCACCCCCTCCACTCTCCCCTATTTACAAATACTGTGTTTCAATTTTTTCCCTTTTCATATTTTTTCTTTGCTAAATCATTTATAGGAAAGGCAAAAGAAGAGCTGTAGAAAGAACGGAAGAAATGTGTTTAGGAGCAGAGCATTTAAAGAAAGGTAGGATTAATACAAACTGGACCTAAAACAAGATGGGAGAGTATAGCTTGTCATGTTAGGAATTATGACAATGAGAACTCACTGGAGTCTCTATGTTAGTGGAGACTACGTAGGAAGAACCCAAAGATACCGGAGCAGAAACAAAGCCCTGAGGCTTTGGCAGTTCTACCCTGAGGTAGTTCTTTAAAAATCACATGGCTTTCAGTTGAATATTCTGTTCACTATATCTGTCAGCACTTGTAGCTATATGTAGCATTTGGATGAAGCTATTTAAATCATAGGTTACATAGAAATCTAAGTTTTCCTAAGGGAATTTTGTTATTAAATAGTAAGCTTGGAAGGTTGAGAGGGTTTTTGTGAAATTGAAAGCAAAAAATAAGTTCTGTGGTCTTATACTAGGCCAACACTGGAAAAGCAAAATCCTCCAACTAGGTAAACAGTTTTGCATGATTTTGGCCAAAACTGAAAAATTCATAGCTTTTCCCCAAAGGATAGGAACTCTGAGAACAACACTGTCTATTCTGTAGTGTAGAGCTTTAAAATATTTTAGAGACTGGAATTAAGTCAAATTTTTCAACACAGATATCATAATGTATACAGAGAATAGATCTAAATGATTTCATGTTCAGTGCTTCAAAAAACTGTTAGTACAAAAGCAAACTCCATGAGAATTACCAGAAAGATTGACATTTTTATGACTCTCTCTTGATTTGATATCTACTTTCAAAATTTTAATACTTAATCAGTTAAGGGTAAAATTTGTATTATTGTCACCATTGCAATTGATACTATCATTCAGGGGAGAGTAAACTAGAAAAAAGAACATTAGGTTCTAGGGCCAGCCAATTTTTCAAGTATGTGTCTGTGAGTTGTTATTTGAT